CTTCAAATATATATACACAATGATATATCAATATTTTTTTAGAGAAACTGTTAGATGCCATTACAAATTAAAAAAAAATGAAATGTTTGAAAAAAAAACTTTGCTTTTTAAAATGTTGTCATGCTCCGAACAATAATTCTAATAACCTCAAAACAGCAAAACATGCTAACAGACTTTGACAAATAAAATTAATAAAATTATCAATATTTTTTTTAATCCTTAAGAAATATGGTTCTGTGAAATTCCAATTTCAAATGATGTTTTGAAGAGTTAATAATGACAGAGAAGGCGTTATTTTTTACCACCCTTCTTCATATTGTCCAGATAATAATAATATGAATAAAATAGAACATCTGATTCAGTCCTGTAAGTTAAATAATGCTTTCAAAGTACAGTGTGTACCAAAAATATAACATTCAGGGTTTTTTAGGTTGATTGTCCTTAGTTTTCCTCGCTATCACCGACAAAACTTTTTTCCGTCATATTAGATCTCATGTTATCTGAAAGATGTTGTTTAGTATGTGTCCAGTTGTTAAAAAAAGAAATCCTATGATCTACAAGGCGTTTAATCATTTTGTTTTTTTAATTGCAATATCGTAAAAGCTATTATTCAATATAGATAAAACTTTTGCAAATGACAAGTGCACTTAAGCAATACTTAATGGGCCCCTTTTAAGTGCCATTTTACTTCAGAATATATTACCAAATGGTTCGGTATTGATAATAGTTAGATACTAAAGGATATTTCTAATCAAAAAGCATGTTGAGCGCCACTTAAATCAGCATAGATTTGAAACAATTGAATATTTTGAAAGGCCTATGAATACCCTATAAATCCGGATAAGTCGTACCGAACATTCTTTTAGTTTCGTTTATGTAAATCAAAGGGAATAGATATTTAAATCGATACTTGAATAATCTGATAGTGGATCATAATCGGGCGCGTTTGCGAAATGATATTTCTTGCGCCAAACCTGTTTTTAGAAATATAGAATGAAGTTGTGTAGTTGCCTGTATCTAAAATGATTAAACTAAGAAATTGGTACTCTTGTAATTGAAAAATTACAATAATAGTTTCATTGATTTTGAAATTAAAAAGGAGTGTTATAGGTGGCTTTCAATACCTGTTTCATTGTCTTGCATGAAGGTTAAAAATGTTTGACACTTTATGAACGACACTTAGATCCCTTTACCCTCCCGTGTTCTTAAAATCAAATTTATACAAAAATCTCTAAGCGGCACGACTTTGACCTACTGAAACAAAACCTGCCTTTGTTTTACAGTGAGCACTTTTGAGGAATGTTTACCTGGGTAGAACTCATGTGACTATCAGTATTTTAAATACTTTATTCCAAACGTGGGTTCAACATGGGTCATACAGGTAAATAGCTCTCATTTGCTATAGGAAAAACATTGTACTTTTTATACATTTTTAAAATTTTAAGTACGAGCCTAATCGTGTGCAAATTTCATACTTTCACACAAGTTTTATAAATGTAATATGCGTCTTTTGTCATTTGCACAGGTTTGCACAATGTTAGGCTCATAGTTAACAAAGGCTTTGAAGTGAATGACCGTTTTAGATTTACTATAGAAAATCGCCAATGTTGGCTGACCCCTACCAAATGGTATAGTTTTGTTCTTTGTATATTCGTGGATTACAGCGGTAAAATTTGTTGAATCGTATGGTTTAGATATCAATTAATGATTTGAGATGAAAAGTTTTGTTTAATTTGATTGTTTATTTTTTCACATTTTACCGGGGCCCATAAGTGCACTCGTTCTTTAGAGCCATTAAAACATCTTTTTTATGTATAAGTCGAAAACAGTATATCAAAAAAATATAGCTTATTGGGACAAAAGGGTTACTTTATCAATAACATATAGTGCATATCAGAATACTGAAAAAGGTCTGTCGATCAAGATTTGTTATGAGGATTCCATCCCCCCAGGGTACGTATAACCAGTAATGACAATTTTATATCTGATAAAAATGGCAAAGTTTGTATATGTTGACAAGGAGGAACAGCCATTTTGCCGCCTCGTGATCTCCGTAGAAAAAGAACATATACTAGCGTAAAGATGTTTGTTTTGAGACTTAGCAACTGTTCGAATAAACCGCTTCAAAAACATGAATAAGACTGTACATACTCATATACCCGATAAACTCTGCTATTGTTAATTACCAAATATCAATCAAAACCTTACAAATCAGAATCCCATAAGTCAAAAATCAAATAAAAGAAAATAACCCTCAAAGGAAAATTATATTGTAGAAAAATCTGCAGGGTGTAATAAATTTTACCTTTTAGTTAGAAAAAAAAAAGAACTCATTATAAAAGACATATAAAAATGGACATTGGACTTCATTTGTTTAATATTAGCTTGAAGGGATATATTGAGTGAAGAACAATCTTTAATATCAATCGAAACAGTGGAATCTTTTTTGGAAAAAGACATACCACAACACATTGAATAAGTTTGAAAATACTCAAGACATTTGAAAGAATTGCAACCAAATTCTTAAATGTACAGCTTTAAGGGACAGGGCATATTAAAGGCCAGTCAATTACCTAAAATGTTATTAAACAGATGAAGGAAATAAACATGTTACTAGCGAACAAATAATCTTTACACTTTAGGGAGGGGACGTAAATGTACTTCTGTTTATATACTTAATTGATGGAATTCTCGTGCATATTAATTAAGAAAACGTTATAATTCTATTTTTTTAATGTAACTATAACCATACTCACATCTAAAATAAATTGCTTGAAAATATTCTATATGTATACATAATGCAAGATTTACTTGAACATGTTGAATTCGTCAATGTTAACAAACTTGTTCAACTTGTCATGTGTGCACAAACAGTTATATATGCCGGGTGCCTAAAGTAGAATTAATTATGATTGACGGAAGCCGATCATCGAAAAGGAATTTTCTTTCTGAGTACATAAACCCGATAATTTTGGATAAAGAGAAAAACTCGTTATTTGTCCAATGGTAGTTATACTGGGGATTAAACCTGCGGAATTCTGAACTATGAGAGTTTTAGTGCCTTGTAGCATGTAATACACAGCAAATCATGTGTTTTAAACACTTTTGATGCAAAAAAGCAAACACCACTCATGTTAAATACATATCAATTTAATATTTTACAAATTTAAATAATGATAATTATACAGTTAAAGAAAAGGTTATGAAGGTCTTGTTCTTTCAATCCATACTAATTTTCAAATCTAAGAATTAAAAAGCTTGTCCACATAAAAAGGTAGAGAAATTAGAAACATACGATGTGTCTTTATAACAACTTAGTCAGTTATTCCGTAAGTTTCAGAGTAATATACCTGGACTTCATTCAATGATTCCTTCATCTTTTCGATGTGGTTTGTTATATCTTTTCCGAGCTCAGACTTTGAACCATTAGTGATATCTTTACTTGAGGAGACGATTTCCCAAATATACTCTTCAAAAAAAGAAACGCATAGTAGAAACAATGCCCTGAAAAATGTATGATAGTTTTTTCATACCTTTTATTTTTGTATGGATACGATGTATTCCAGTGAAATGCATGATTTTTTAATGCAATTGTTAACTTTACTGGTATTCTACAAGTCTCACAGACAAAAAGACCTGATTTTGCAAAATTTCCCTCAAAATTTTTATCTCAATTTTCATTTGTTGAATTCCGATGCAATTCCTTCAGGTACAAAGGGGCTATCAAAAGCGGGGGTTCTCGATATTTTGAACCTGGTTTGATCTGAAATATAAAGCTTCCTAAAAATGCTGCATCTGAATATTGCATAGCACAAAAAGGAAAAAGGGCGACTGGAAGCTGGGGTACCGCAATCTACAATTGCAAGAGGTTTTAATGTTACACACAGACCATATCTAACCTATAAAACATAAACCATTAATATCGAACACCCAATGTTCGCAAAAAATATGGTAGACTACGTGTGAAATCAGCAGCACAGCATCACTTCCGAGGATTACGTAAATTGCATGAATGTAATGCAAGGACGTCATCTAAAACATAAGCTATCCCTGAACTGCACAGATCATCTAACAAGACCGTTTTCAGTTGACTAAGAATGATTGCAAGAGGAATTTACATGCCATTGTTCCGAACCCATAACACCCAAAATATCGACTTCAAAGATCTCCGATCAACAGAGTATGACCACAGCATCACTGCTGAACATTTTGGTTAACCAACTAGTCCAAAATGTTTATCTGAAAGCATCTTATAAGTTTAAGAGTGCTAATGCTTTGAAATGAATTTTAAACAGATAACTGCCTCCAGGACGTTAAAAAAGTTGGTGGTGGTGGTGTAATGATATGGAAAAAGGTATTATAAGAAAGTAAGATTGATTTTTTTCGAATTCAATGAACTTTGATGGAAAAAGGTACTCTAACCATGTTTTACCTACACATACACATTCAATTTTGCAGCATCCTAATGCCGTATTGCAATCACACAATGCACAGCCACATATGGCTCGTTTGAAACATCTATTCTTGCAAAGAAACAACAACCTGTTTCAGTCAAAATCATCTAAATGGCTAGGTTTAATCCAAATTAAGCAGCATAGGACAAAATGGATTGACATGATTTGCCAAAGACAATCGCATCCCCAGACTCTGCAACAGCTGACCAAAGTTCTATATTTGGAGTGGGGGAGTTATCCTATACAGTTTTTATTACACACATTTGCTTCCATTAGATGCCGTTTGTGGCTATCTCTTGTGTCTGCGGGGGGCATACCAGATATTGATCTTTAATGGTATTAAACTGACTACAATTTTAAAATTGTTGAGTAATTATGACATTTAGAATTAGTATTCCTTTTGCTTACCACATTTCTGTTTTATCAATGCATCATTTTACTGAATAATCTTTAATATGTTCAATGTGTCAATAAAATTCTACTATGCGTTTCTTTTTTTGAAGAGTATATCAAAACCTACACCAACAAGTGCAAGAGCAGCCATTTTACCAATTAGTTTTCCGGCAGTCATCCCGATTCCTCGACCTCCTTTCCCGACCAAACATGCCGTTTTCGACATGACCTGCGCAACTTTCTTTCCTCTTTTAATGGTTTTAAGCATCGTTTTTATTTCCTTTTTTGTAGATTTAGCAACATCCCTCAAAGTTTCCAAAGCTTCTGTAAAACGATTTCATCTAGGTCGGTTGTTCTTTTTTGGTCACCTAGTATGATGTTTTCAGCTTCCTTGCATTTTCTCAAAGCATAATTCTTATCAATTTGGTCAGAAGTGAGGTTGGTTATTCCACCAGCTAAACCTACCCCCGCTGCTATTCCAGCACCAACGGCGGCAGACGCACCTGCTGTGAAGGGTGCAAGAAGCAAAGCTCCAATCATTATGCTTCCGCTTAACACCCCAACGCTACTACCTACAATTTGAGTGACATTGTTTTGAAATTCACCACTGTCCATGTCGGCCACAATTTGCTCTAAATCTCTGATGGCCCTTCTTCTAGTCCTTACCCACTCTTCATACTGGTTGACAAATTCTTCAAGATACCTTTCATACTTGTGTATGGCATCAATTTCCCGATCTGACATAATTCGTCTGGTAATTGAAAAATATAATCTTGAAGTAATAAAAATAAAAACACCTTTAGTTTTATTTCGAGATTCGATTCTTATGAAATTCATCAAAGGCAAAAATTGTTTCTTCTACATTTCAATGACACATTTTTAACGTTTAGCTAAGGCTCGTTAACCCTTATTAAAATTTTTCTTAAATTGCCTCGAGCCGTCCCGGATGCTGTTCCTGCTCAACTGAAAAATGATTCATCAGATTTAAAGTTCAACCTTGGGTGGAAGCTGGTATACTTGTACAAGTGATTTATGGTGTCATCTATATTATTTTTCTTAAATTTAGGCAGTTATATTAGCTTAAAGATTAATGTAAAATATGTTTGATATATACTTATGAGCCAATTATATAAATGAAATCTTTTTTAAATTAGTCAAGGAAGATCTAAATTTATAATATGAAGAAGTTGAAGCATTTTGTTTCCGCCTTGGATGAATTAAACGTTCTCTGAATTAAGGATTCGGGTAACTATTGTTGCCGTACTACGCCTTGTTCCTTTCTTGGAAGTGTATATTCCGGGTATCGAATTTTTCTACGTGATGCAATTGCATGTATCGTAAAATAAATGCCCAGCCATTTACAAGTTATTTAAATAAATTCCCTTCATCAAATAGCACAAACCTAATGTGCATTTTTAAGTCACCTGAGTCACTAAAGTTTCGTCAATCAGTCGTAATCTTTTGAACATTTTCATCTTCTTCTCTGTTTCTGCTTAACCAATTTCAACTTATTTTGACACAAAGCATATAAGGATAAAGGGTGTTCAAAAATTATGAATTTCATGGTCCCTGCTCCCCTTGGGTCTGATTAAATAAATGCTACCTTTAAAAATCTTCTTTACTCCTAGACATCAATCAGTCAAACTGTTGGCATGAGTGTAATTAGCACTGAGTCTTCTACCAAAAATTTGAAATTAATGATGCCAGGGTAGGGGTTCTAAAATTAGGGTGGGGCTACATAGATTATATAATAGAATGCATTGTTTCTTTGAAAATCCTTCCCTCTGTTTCTGTGTATGAAATAAACTAACAGAGTACATAGCTATGTTTAATAATGCTGCCTCTTTCAAAATTGTGAATCACAGGGTCAGGGATTCTGGTGTTAGGGCGAAGTTCCATTGATTATATAGTAAAAATGCATAAATTCTTTAAAAATCTTCTTCTTGGCTCCTGGGTATTAAACCAATGAACTATATACATTGCTATGATGAGGAAGGATGCTTCTTCCCAATTTGTGTGTTCAGAGCCCCTTGATCTTTGGTTCTGTAATTGGGGGGGGGGGGCTCTCATGATTACATAGTAAAAATAGATTGATTCTTTGAAAATCTTTTCCTTCCTGGGTAAATGTTATAAAAAAAAATCCAAACTTTTGAAAAATGAGGCACAAGGGTCCGTGGTTCCTTTGGGACTGGTTGCACAACTGGTGGTTATGAAGTGGAAGTGCAGTTTCTCTTTGTTACTCTGATCTACTTCTGGATATTAAGTAACCAAACTAAGCATACTAAGTGTATAATCTTGATAAACAATGTTTTCTCTTTCAAAATTTTGAATTTCATGGCTTTTGGTTTAGGAAAATGGTAACAAGATAATCAGGTGACCTATAAGGCCCATGGGCGTCTTCTTAAAGTTCCAACCATGAAGTATTTTTACTCATTTTATAAATATCAAAACACATCTTCAAGATTCTAATATACTAGAAATCGTAATGAAAAAAAAATAGCAAAATGAGGAGAAGAGCACATCGTCTTTATTACCTATATATAGATACTATTTTTTTTACATAAAAGGACAAATTAAATGTAAAAAAGAATTACCAAAATTTTAAGAAAATTAAATGAAAATACGTCTCTTACAACCTCAAAAGACACTTACCTATCTGAATAAAGACTTTATAAATCGACACTCACAGCTTGTTTTTAAGCGCATGTATTGAAATGAGAAAGAAATCGGTATAGCAAAACAAAATGTTTTATTTCCTGGAATGAATTATATCCTGTCAGGTTTGTTTCAAATTTCTAAGAATTGCTTGTTGTATTTGAGTACACAGTCATTTTTTATAAACATAATTTAAATATCTTTTGAGTTAAGATGAATGACCTTGGTTGCCTTTTGTCACACAGAGTTACGTCAAAAACAAAGTTATATGCTTTTGAAAGACTTTTTAAACGGAATGTTTTTTCGTTTTGTTTTTGTTTTTTTTTGTTGTTGTTGTTGTTGTTGTTGTTGTTTATGATTGACAAATAAATAACAAGTAACAGGTACATAAAATAATGCTGTGGATAAGACAATATGATCACTTTCGCTACTGGAAGTATCCATAACGCATTAACGCAGTGCAGTTTAGACTACAAAAATGAGTCAGGGCCTGATTTATAAGCGAAATGTTTACTTTTGCATGATATATTTTATACATATGAATACTTGAAATTTCCTCAAAATTCATTCTGAGAAAATTGTAAGAACACAAATCACTGTAAAATCTTTACAACTTACAAAGGTTTAGGGGGAATATAATACTGACATTATTAGCGAACTAAATGATATTACTAAAATTGAAAAAAAAAATTAATTGATTTTTTTTTTGCAAAAGATTCTTTAGTGAGAAATTTAAATGTATAAATCACTTCTCATCTTAAGAAATCTTTATATTTCCAAAAGGTTCTTTTGATCTGTAAATTTTTGATATTGGCGCATGTCCCTCCCCACTACTTAATGTGTGTTTCCTTCCCAGAACAACTCGGCCAATTTTTTCCCTTACTTCACATGATACATTATTGGGCACAGGGAATCCATTTTGTTCAACAAGTTTTTTTTTATTGGAGATTGTGAAAATAGTCGTTATTTGTATTCTCATTGATAGAAACAATTTTTCAAGTACGCAAGGGGCAGAGTCACAGGGAGTGGCGGAATTTTACAAAAACATATAATCAGTAATAATTGGTAAACGTTGTTCGTGAGACAGTTGCAAGTGTGGCAATAGGTAATGGACAGAGACCATATGAAAGGGGTGGTATTATTTCCTTTTCCAAATCCACAATCTATGTTGGAAGACACCAAAAGATGGGTGAAAGCGTGTGGACGAAAATTCTTTCCTGTGGACAACCAATAAACATACACATGTATGCAGTAAGCATTTCGTTGACGGTCGCCCTACTGATATGCACCCTTATCCAGTGAGCGCAGACTCACCTCGGGTGATTCCAGAGCAACAAAACAAAATAAAGATAGTGTTGGTCCAAGAAAGGTGCCTAATACTGAATGTATCATTATGCCAGACCGTCCAGAGCAAACCTTGTTCGTCACAGTGAAAAGGGGGGGGGGGGGGTTAGAAGTGAACAAGTGTCATTTCAGCACAACAGTGTATGAATAAACAATTTTCACAATACAAAATAGCCGAAGAGTGATTTCTTAAAATAATTACATTAAATTATAATCATTGTAAACTTTAAAGCATGACTTTTAAATCTATATTCACATCAGATTAAACGCCTTTGTAGAAGACTCCTGAAAATAAAAATCAGCTATTTTGAAATGTCAAATCAAAATAATTGAGAAAAAAAGATAGTAAAGCTTATGGTATTAAATTAATTTTAATGCATGACCACTTGTTTGCACATGACTGGTGTGTCAGTTAGAAGTTAAACCAACCTTGACATGGAGGGGATACAGTACAGTCAACGCGGTTTATGCATTTACCGCGCACCCCCGCGGTGTGAATTTCATCGCGGTTAGTACAGATGTCTCAGGTAAAAACCGCGTGCCCCCGCGGTTCAGTAATCCAGGTAAATCCCACCGTCGCGGTGCATCTTACCGATTACAGGTGAAAAAACAGTCTTGGTCTAAAACGCGAGTTACCTCCCTTTGAAAATATCAACCAAAACAAAATCAAACGAAATTAATGATATTTTAAAATTTATAGTTGTTGAAATATTTGAAGTACAAAATGAAAATTAATTTTACTAAAAAAATATACTCTCATGTATCTAAATAATTATAAGAATCGTCTAAGCAATTTTCAAATAGCGTTTACTAATTCTTTAATTACTTTTTTTAATGTGTTCCTTCTATTTAGATCCAGGACTTTCGATATAAATTACTGTATGTGATATATTTATTCGACAATGCAAGATAAAACACCCAGTGTGCTATTCATGATATTCAATATTAATTTATATTTTCGTTGCGTGTGTTTTTTTTTATTTTAATAGTGGATTGATTAAAGAAACAATCTATCGCAGTGTCACTTTCAGTGGGGCTATAAATGAAAGTGTTTTAAAATTATTAATCTTCAAATATAGGATTATAATACGCAGAAGATTTTTATGTAATTAGCATTCTCCGAGTCGTCTGTAAAGTGTCATTCCTTTATTCTGGGGCAATGTTCATGAAAACAGTAGAGTGTGTATGTGTGTGTAAGTTGATGGTCTACCAATCCGTAGAAGATAAAATAAAATTACATAATGTCTAGAGCTAGACCTGGTACGCATACTTGGTCCTCACAGCTGTACACTGGACAAGGTGCGATCCCCTGCACCAGCCCTTCCCCTGGTGTACACGTGCGTGCCCGAAAGCGGGTCAGTAAATTTCAACTGTCGTACAAGTTTAACATACTTCATAATGACATTTACATTGATCATATAATTTAATACATATTTGAATTAATTATTTAAATTTACGATATGCAGATTACCATGATTACTTTCGTGTAAAAAGTCAATTTTGATGTAACAATCATCCCCTCCCCTCTTATTTACTTGGACTCTATTAATGTGTCTTACACAAAACTCAGCACAATCACAACTTTGAATGGGGTGTTATTTTCCCAATATCAGTAGATAGAAGCAAAGTTGATTTAGAAAATATTGTATTTATGTATGAAAATTCAACCAAAACAGTGGGGAAAAAAATCTACCAAGCTTATTACTGCAAAATTCTATTCGGACTATTTACAGCGCGTTAACAAAAAATTACTGAAAAAGAAATTCATAAACACCACAAACAATATCGGAACAACATTTTAGGTACATTTTGCATTGGTAAGTAATTTTTTGTCCTTGTTAGATGTAGTACATGTATACACAGTGTACATGTAGCTGCACGGATTAATCGAGGTCTCCTTAGTAACTGGTGGATTCCTGTGTATTGTGCGCGTTCAGGCGGAGAGGGATTTCCTGTCTCACAGTGACACTGTACTGGGTATAATTTCACACCTTTGTGAAAGACAAAGGATTTGGATTTTCGCAACATTTTGACAGTTTTAAAATATAAAATCATAAACCGGGTGGATTATAATTTTTGACCCCCCCCCCCGCCCCAAAGATTCCCCCCTTCTGCCGTCTGCATATACTTCATTTTTTTTTAAACATAAGGTTGTATGTTTCAAAAACATTAATTTTACATTTAAATTCACAAAGAAAGATTGATCTTAATAAATTTAAGTGACTTTCCCTGTATATGCATGGTCTTCTACAAATACAAAAAATTGGAATGTTAACACCGAGGGCTGTTCTATGTGTACTGTGTACATGTTCCTACAAAATTACGACAAGCTAATGTATTTCATCGCGTAGTTAATCCCATACGTTGACAGGGTAGGATATAGAGGTGTACATGAAAATCGTTGAAATAATATTAATTCTTTAAATTTACATATACATGTATAGCAAAAGGACGATATTTCAATTTATTATGCACGACCGTATGCACAACAAAGCACCCCGTTTCATCTATATACTATTATTATGCGGAAAGAAAATTTTAAGCTTTCTCTTATTTTATTTGCACATTGAGAGTTAATTAATTAAGTAACACTCTAAACTGCATACAAATATTTCTACTACTCAGTGTTTTCAGTTAACACGCTATTCTCATGAACATTGTTCGTACTTACAAGAAATTACTTGTATGCTTTCAAGCCGAAATGTGTTGCCGTTTAAAATGAATTTTGCCGATTAAAAAAAAACAAATAATACGTGAGAGAGGGAGAGATTTACTGCACATTGCCTATAAACATGTTTCAGAATATCTAGCTCTTCCATCCATCGAATATTTATCGAAACATGTATGCGTTTCATTGTAAAAGTGATACACGGTATATCGTCATTAACTGATTAATTTAGAGAAATAAAGTTTATGCTTATGCTGAGGATATAATTTATTTTTTAAAAACATGTTTTAAAAACTAACATTTATCAAACATCAGAATAGCTTGAAAAAACAATCATAGCCATTTTTTTTTTTTTTTAATTCTTCGGGTAGTAGTTACATTGTATAATATTTCTAATAGCACCACTTTTTAAAACTCAAAACCTGCAATTTTACAGATCGAAAGAACACTATTCAGTTATAGATATTATACGGCCATACAGGTAAAATAAATCCGATAAGCCAGTCAACGGTAAGTCACACCGCCGCGGTCCATACCTGGCTACAGGTAGGACCGCGATGAAATAACCGCGAGGGTGTATCGCGGAAAGGATCAAAACACCGCGGGGGGAGCGCGGTTTAATGCCTAATCCGCGTTGACCGTACTGTATCTGGCAATGAGGATAACAGCTTCACTGATAAAGGGTACACAAAAAGAAAACTATTGATAGATTACATATTCAAAAATAACAAGTCATGTTGATGAATTGTTTTCTTTTATATTGATACACAGCTACTTTATGAACACTTATGCTTAATCATCAATCAAGACTATCACTTGCTGTGTTCACAATCATTCAATCTGTTGAAGTTAAAGGCATCCTTAATAGTATACTTGAAAAGCAATGAAACAAATGATCCTCAATATTTAAGGCAATTAAATGTCTGCTTATTTGTCATCTAGGTCTGGCAAGTTTAGATTTAACTTTAAGTCACTTAGAATCTACTTCTATGGTCGATACAATGACCTTGTCAGCAAATACAATTTAGCATCGAGTCAAATCCTGACTGACGTTTTTTTATACCAATGGTTAGTTCATTGTTTATACACTGTATTGACGACGGATTTTCCCGTTATTTCACG